ACTTGGCTTAGGAGGAGATTTCGTAGAAGGTGAATTTTACGTGATAAAGTGGTCACTCGCTCCGTTTATTCAAGGTATGTACATGTTACAGAAATCCTTGATCTTTAGGAGCATGTTTAAGGAGTTATAAGAACCTAGTATCATATATAGGGAACTATTTGATTGTGGATTGTTTGGTTAAGAATTGAATAATTTACATGCTTGTGTTTGAGAAGTATGTTTTAATATATGGAAAATGTTGTTGGTTCTCTAATTAATTAACCATTCCATGATTGATTAAAGGATTTGGAATTGTTGATTTAAGTGCAGTTAATTTTTAATTATTCCATGAGGTAATTTATTATTACTCTTTCATGACTTGAAGTATGATATAGTAAAGGGATTGATTAAAGTCATATATGACGAGGTTAGTTGACTTTGTTCAACAAGTGGTTTGTCCTTCTAAATAAGGAATTATTGAGTTAAATGAATGTTTGGTGATCACTCTTCAATAACTAAGATAAAAGTGGATTGGTTGTGGACTGTTGTGTATTGTGACGTTATGATGTTTGTTTTATGAGTTGGAACTAATTAAACTTGTAAATCACGTAAAGTGAAAGATGGATAAGCAATAAAACTCTCTATTGTGCACGTCTAGAATATGAGTTGGGGTTTCACGGGGTATTATTCGTGGCCTTTTTAGAGGCCGTGTGATCTACGAGTCTCTTTTATTTACAAAGTTTTTAAACTAAATTGGGGTTGGTTGAGATCTCATCTAGCTATGGTGACGCAGTCACGCCCGTTTACCATTGGATTATTATTGTTTTTGATGGTTTCTGATGAGGAATCATTGGATTTTATCTATTATTTTCTAATGTTCCTTAATAGGAACATGGGGGAGACAACCTTGTCTATTTCTTAATCTAGAAAAATTATTAAATAATTTAAGAGTCGAGTTGAAACATATGAGTCCTGTGTTAATATTGGTAGTTTATGCCTACTAGTTGAATAAGAAATACGATGGTTGTATATGTGATTAGTAGCATGATAGGATCTTCATATTTCTTTATTTCCGTAGTTTGTATGTACTCAGCTTTGCTGATTACGTGCTTTGTGTGTGTGCTTATTTGGTCATGGCCTTCGCCTTTTAATGACTCTGTGATGATCCAATTTTTACACTTGTAATATTGGGGAGTAGATTTTTGATAGGTGTTGCATGATTGAGGACATCATTGATATAACGGGATTGAGTGGAGTGTTGACTCACCTTTGCAGTAGTGTATTTTCTTGAACAAGCAATACTTTGCTAAACTTTCTTTGGTTTGAATTTTGATTAATCAAATAGATGTTTGGGTTTTGAATAATGGTTTCATCCTGTAAAACTTATTTGGGTTTGTTTGGTTTGAAGTTTGTTTGAAATGATTTGGTTTTCCGCTGCAAATTCTTATACAAGCCTAACGTTAGAACACGTGGCAGGGATACGTCAATAATTATCTTACATTTTATTAGTAAGTATTTTCCAGGTAGAAGGGAGAATTATTAGGGGTGTTACAAAATGGTATCTGAGCTTAAGTTAGATTTAATTACCACTAAAGCCAATTTTTTTTTAGGCTCTTAACTAACTGTTTATGAATTTTGAATTTAATTATCAATTTAAAGGTTGAAAATTATTTTCGAAAATAACTTTAGTATGTTTGAAATAATTTGTTTTAAATGTTTATAAAATAATTTTTAATTTACTTTATAAATTTAAAGGGCATGCATGCATATTTAATATTTCGTATTTTATTTTTGATTATTATGCAAATGAATTATTGTGTTGTTTAACATGTTATTGTATGATGGTGTTCTAATTGAATTTCTTTCATGATGTGTTTATGGTTCTTCCCTTGAATGCTTGTGGCATTAAGATGATGTAGTGAGGAAATCATGTCTAGTAATGAGAAAGACACCGAAAGTAAAGATACTCTAGGAGACATGGAAAGGATTTTAACTCCAAAGTTGGACCAATCTGAGGAAGGCTATCAAGATCTACATGAGTTTAAGACAGCAAAAAACAAAAAGCATAAGATTAAAACCTACAAGAGGATCTTTCATGAGATGACTTTTACTTGTACCCTCGGACGATGAACATGATTATCTTGATGGATGATGGGAGAACCTGTAGACCCAAATGCAGGAAAAAAGGAGGACTAGGAACCTAAACCCACTCTACAACGCTATAACTATTGAAGACTTGAGAATGAGGCAGACCCACACTTTGGCATGGAAGGGTACAATGAGAAAAAGGATAAAAAGGAAAATGTGGTGCCTTGAAGTTATCACTTTTAGGATGAACTTTATTAGAAATGATCTTATGTAATTAGTAAATACTTATCTTGGGTTTTTAAATAAGTAGCTAGAGCTACAATGTTTATGTTGGTACTTCCCACTTGAGATACGATGAAGAAGTTTTAAATTAATGGTAGTATCATCTATTATGGTTATTGTTTTGTTATCTTTTTCTATATCGATTTGTTTTATAATCACCAACTACTATTTTTTTGAGGTATTGAATCCCTTACTAACCGATCGAGTGGGAGTTCCACGGGATGGGATACCATTTTATTTTACATTAATTTGTTTGGAATGTTAGTTGAATATGTTGATTTACTTAGTTTATTGTTCGAGTTATGTGTGGAACAAAAGGGTACACTAAACTAAGTGCCCTCTTGTACAATTTATGTGTATGGATGGAGTTCGTGACTATAAGTCTGGCTTTGCTTGATAATCTTCAGTTTGTTTAAGCTTAAGTGAATGCTTATTACTTTTCAGGCGTAGGGGTACCATGGCTCGTAACGAGGTTGCTTTGGCTAATGCTATTCGAGCATTAGCAGAACACGTGAACCAAAACCGTGGGGAACAACATGATCCTCATGTAAAAATGTTTAAGAAACTAGCTCAAGTGAAACCGCCTGTGTTCAAGGGGGCAGCTGACCCTACCTTTTTAGAGAACTAGGAACGGGAATTTGATAAGATATTTGTAGCCTTAAATTGCCCTAAGAACATGAGGGTTGATCAGGCTGCAATGTACCTGAAAGATGAGGGTGATAGGTGGTGGAGGGCCAATGCCAAGAGACTTCAAGCCCAATCAAACTTTGGATGGGAAGCCTTTAAGACTGCACTAAAAGAGAAGTTTTACCCACCTTTCTTGAGGAAGCAAAAATCTCAAGAATTTTTCAACCTACGGATAGGTAGCATGTCAATTTCTGAGTGTTACAACAAGTTCGTGACCCTAGCTAGGTTCTGAAGTGGTCCCAACTAAGGAGCTGAAAGCTCAGAGATTTGAGCAGGGGTTAACTAAGCAGTTGCAAAAGGACTTAGCTGGGAAAGTCTTTAGGACACTAGACAGGGTGTATGAGAGGGCTGCCCACTTATATGGGCTGAATTCTAGAGATTCTGCTGAGAATAGTAATGTTGGGGAAAAGAGAAAGAACTTTGGTAATTCTGGGAACAATCAAGGAAACTCCAAGAAACCCAAAAAAGGGAATGTTGTTGATGGGAGGAACCAAGATACTGGTGGCTCGTCTGGATAGGGCACTGGTGAGAGGAAATATTTTTGTAGGAGGTGCAAAATAAACCATCCTGGGAGGGACTACAAAGGAAACTTGGTGACTTGTAGGTATTTCCATAAGAAAGGGCACAAGGGATTTGAGTGTTTTGCAAAGAAAAGGCAGGAAGAAAATGGTTGGAACAGTTAGCAAAGATCTAACACTTTCTATAGTCAAGGGAACAGAAACAATGGTAAGAATAACTTGAACAAGAGGCTTGGCAACAACAATGGAAGCAACACCAACAACAGTGCCACCAACACCAGCTACAGTAATAATGTTAATCAGGGAAGGAACAACACTCCTGGGCGCCTATCTGTAATGGGCAGGAGGGAGGCTGAGAGGTCTTGCAATGTAGTCACTGGTACCTTCTCTATTCACTCTTTCTTTGTAAAAACCTTTTATTTGATTTTAGAGCAACCTATTCTTTTATTTCTACATCTGTTGTAACCTTGTTGAACTTATCTGAATCGAGTCCTATTGAAATTTCTGTTTTCTTACCTACAGGTAAAATTGTTCCATGCAATAAACTCCACAAAAACTTACCTTTAAAGATAGAAGAAGCTATTTTCCCATCTAGCCTTATTGAGTTTGACTTGGGGGACATAGATGTTATACTTGGTATGGATTGGCTGAGTTTGTACAAGGCCTAGATAGACTACAAGGTGTAGAAAGTGCACTTAAGGGATCCTTTGGGAAAAACCATGTATTATAGACATTTTGGGAAACCTAAGGGATATAGGCTTATTTCTACAATGAAAATCAAGAAGCTAGTGAATAAGGGGGTAACCACTATACTTTTGTTGTGTCCAAGACCTGAGTATGGTGGAGAGCAGAAGAATTAAGAATGTTCCTATAGTGAATGAGTTTTTAAATGTCTTCCCAGAAGAAATCTCGGGGATGCCACCTAAGAGGGAGGTTGAGTTCACCATAGATCTGGTTCCGGGCACTGCACCAATTTCAAAAGCAACCTATAGGATGACACCTTATGAAATGGGGGAGTTAAAGATCCAATTGCAAGAGTTGCTAGATAAGGGGTTCATTAGACCTAGTGCCTCACCTTGGGGAGCACCTGTTTTTTTATTTTTGAAAAAGAAGAATGGGAGTTCAAGGTTGTGTATCGATTATAGAGACCTAAATAATGTGACTGGGAAGAATAAGTACCCTTTACCCAGAATAGATGGCTTGTTTGACCAGTTGAAGGAGGCAAGTGTGTTCTTGAAGATCGATTGAAGTTCGGGGTACCATTAATTGAGGGTTGCTGACAAGGATATCCCAAAGACTGCTTTTAGAACACGTTATAGGCATTATGAGTTTACAGTTATGCCTTTTGGGTGAACTAATGCACCTGATATTTTCATGGACTTGATGAACCGAGTGTTTCATGAGTACTTAGATAAGTTTGTGGTGGTATTCATTAATTACATTTTAATGTATTCAAGGAGTGAAGAGGAGCACGCCCATAATGGTAGGACTGTTTTGGAGACCCTTAGAAGCAATAAGTTGTATGCCAAATTTTCTAATTGTGAGTTTTGGTTGGAACAAGTTGCACTTTTAGGTCATTACATTCCTAAGGAGGGTGTTTCTATGGATCATGCAAAGATCAATGCAGTTAGTGAGTGGCCTACTCCTAAAAATGTGACCGATGTTAGAAGCTTTTTGGGGTTGGCTGGGTATTATAGGAGGTTTGTCAAAGACTTTTCCAAGATAGCCAGACCTATGACCACCTTGATGAAAAAGGAGACCAAATTTGTGTGGGATGAAAAGTGCGAATTAGTTTTTCAAACCCTCAAAGACCAGTTGACTACCGCGCTAGTGTTAGCATTGCCCAATGGAAGTGAGGGATTCGAGGTGTATAGTGATGCCTCGAAACATGGATTGGTTTGTGTGCTGTAGCAGAATGGGAAAATGATAGCCTATGCGTCTCAACAGTTGAAGCCTCATGAAGTTAACTATCCAACACACGAATTGGTGCTCGTTGCTGTTGTGTTTGCCTTGAAAATTTGGAGACACTACTTGTACGGTGTCACTTGTAAAATATTACGGATCACAAGAGCCTGAAATATATCTTCACCCATAAAGATTTGAACTCACGACAACGTCGGTGGTTAGAGTTCATTAAAGACTATGACTTAAATATTCAGTACCACGAGGGAAAGGCAAATGTCGTTGCAAATGCCCTTAGTAGGAAGTCGAGTCACAGTGTTAACGCCTTAGTGGTTGCCGATGACTTATGCGAAGATATAAAGAAGTTGAACCTTTAAGTGGTGAATCAAGGAGAGCTAGAGGGATTATTGAGTGCTTTGTTGATTAAACCATCTATTTTCGAAGAAATTAAAGAGAAGCAAACTGAGGATGAGTTATTACAGAAGATTAGGGATCGAGTGACCAGTGTTGCTGAGACTGAGTTTGAAATCCACGAAGATGGGAGTTTAAGGTACAAAGGGTAGATGGTGTGTGCCACAGAATTGTGAAGAAGTGAAGAGGAAAATCATGGAGGAAGGCCATAATACTCCATATTCAGTTCACCCTGGAGGAGATAAGTTGTATAAAGACTTGAAAGAATTGTATTGGTGGCCGAATATGAAAAGGGAGGTAGTTGAATTTGTGTCTAAGTGCTTAACATGTCAGAAGGTGAAAATGGATCATAAAAGACCCATGGAGAAGGTGCAATGCAACCACTAGTGATACCAGGGTGAAAATGGGATTTAATCTCCATGGACTTTGTGACTGGATTGCCAAGGACTCAGAATGAGAATGACATAATTTGGGTGATCGTGGATAGACTTACTAAGTCAGCAATGTTTATTCCAATCAAGGAGACTTGGAAGAAGAAACAATTGGCAAGTACTTATATGAAGAATGTAGTTCATTTGCACGGGGTTCCTAAGGACATTGTATCCGATAGGGATTCGAGATTTTGTCTAAGTTTTGGCAAAGAAAGTGCAAGAAAACCTTAGGACTAATTTGAAAATGAGTACAACTTTTCACCCTACGATAGATGGGCAAACAGAAAGAAAAAATCAGACCATGGAAGATATGTTGCGGGCTTGTGTAAAATTCTCCTATAATAATAGCTATCACGCAAGTATTGGGATGGCACCTTTCGAAGCACTTTATGGGAGAAAATGTCGAAGCCCTATGTGTTAGAGTGGTTATAGTGAGATAATCACTTTGGGAACCAAATTCATCGAGGACATGGTGAGCAAAGTAAGATTAATCCAATCGAGGATTAAAGCAGCTTAAGATAGACAAAAGAGTTATGCCGACATGAAGAGGAGAAATGATGAATTCAATGTGGGTGATGAAGTTTTCCTAAAGGTCTCACCCACGAAAGGGGTAATGTGGTTTAGCAAAAAAGGGAAGCTCGGTGCCAAGTATGTGGGGCTTTATGAGATCCTGCAACGTGTGGAAAAAGTTGCTTACAAATTGGCTTTGCCAATAGAGTTCAAGAAATGCATGATTTTTTTGACATTTCGCAACTCAAGAGGTATGTGGCAGGTGACACCCATGTGTTTCAGCCAAAGACGATTCAGCTTGATGAGTCTCTGACATATGAAGGGAGACCAGATCGAATCTTAGATCACAAGGTGCGCAGCTCGCGAAACAAGGATGTGCGAATCGTAAAAGTCCTTTGGTCTAACCAAGAGTACGAAGAAGCTACTTGGAAAACGAGGATGATATGAAAAAGAAATACCCCGAGTTATTTGTTTAGTTGAGTTACGGGGTTGTAACTTTTTTCTTTTAAGAGAGGTAGATTGTAATCCCCGCAATTTTATGAAATTTACAATTATATTTTGTTTAATTATAAGTATATTTTATATTAGTATAATTTAAGCAAATATTTATACTAGAGTAATATATCTTAATGCGATATAAACAAAGTTTTTATACACTTATGAAAATTGTCCAAAGAGAGAATTATTTGGTTTCATTCTCTTTTTAATGGACTAACCGAATAGCTATATTCCTAAACCCATACATTTTGGACCCAAACCCAAAATAAAAAGAAACTCTTAAAATTCCCCTAACATACGTACTACTATTACTACTCCCTCCATTCATTTTCCTTTTCCTACTCCCTTCATTCACGTGCACTCAAAGAAAAAAAAAATACAAACTCTGTTGTTGCCCACTGTCGGAAACCACCGCCCAACTCCACCGCCTGACCTAACCAGCGCCCAGGTCGTTGCCGGCCAGCCTGCTGCTCCTCGGTTCCCTCGTCCTCTTCTCATCTTCCTCCTTTGTTGTTCTCATATATATATATATATATATTATATAATAAAAAAAAAAAATTACCCCATGCTCTTGATTTATGTATTTGATGATTTTGTTTGATGTTTAATCTCATGATAAAGATTGTAAATTTATAATTTCATGAACTATTATTTTGAATTTTAAATTTTAGATTTTATTATTCATTAAAAATAGGGTTTATGTGTAGATTTTTCATGATTTAAAGGGTTTAAACATGTTTAACAAGCTAACAAAGTATTTTATGGTTTCATCATGTTAAAACTAGTAATTTTGTGTTTACATTAAATTTTCAGATTATATTATAAGATGTAAAATTTAAGTTTAAGATTGTTCATTTGATGGGGTTTTGAGTTCTAATGCATATTATACTACTATACAAGTTATATTATGATTATGGACAGTTATAGATTCAAGTTTATAATCTGAATGAATTTTCAGATTTTGTATGATATGAATTTTGTTATTTTAGTATCAAAAATAAAGGTTTATGATGTTTCTTAATGTTTAAATAACCTACTATATTACAATGCTACAAGTATGGGTTGCATGATTTTTAAGAGGCTTGATAAAACTAATTTTTCAACTTATGTTAGTAGGATAAACATGCTGGAACTTTCACTACTAGAAAACAGGCAATTTACGATGGAATTCTGTCGGAAGAACTTTTCCAAAGAAATTCAGTCATCAGAAGAGGTTTTCTGGCTCGGAAAAGTCCGTCGAAAATTTTCGACGGATAATATTCTGCCGGGAAATTCCGACTGAAATTATGTTGGAAAATGCTGTAAAAATATATATATATAAAAAAAAAAAACCACGCCACACCACCACCTCCACTGCCTATCACCACCTCCAACCACCACAACCTAGTACCCAACTTCCTGAAAAACCCTAGAAAACCCAAAGCTATCCCCACCCAACAACCCAATAACCACCGTAACCCACCCCACCTAACCCTAATCCACCCAAATACATATCTACCACCAAAACCCACCTAAACCAAACCCAGATCTACAACCCTATCCCTAACCCTAACCAATCCAGATCTATAACCCCAAACCCACCTTAAATGTAACCGAGTTCTACAACCCTAACCTTAACCAATCCGGTCGAACCACCCATCATAAGCGAAACACCCCACCACCCACCTAAAACCATCCACCACGACCGCCGAAAACCACAACCACAACCCAAAAATTAACCAAAAAAAAAAATTAAAACAAGAAAACATACCTTTAAAACCGAAATTGGCTTTAAATTTCACCTCAAACTTGTATAATAATTGATCTTAAAAACCTTAAAAATTAAAATGGCATAGAAAGCAGGGATAGGAGGCAGCGGTCGTGGCGATGGGGCAGCGTCGTCCAGCGGCGTTGGAGGATGCGAGAAAGGGAAAAGAGGAGGAGAAGAAAAAGATCGAGAAAAAGAGGAGAAATGAAGACAAGCAGAAGAGAAAAGAAATGAGGAGAAGGAGAAGAACAAGATCGAGAAGAGATAAGGAGAAGAAAAGGAGGAAGGAGAAAATAAATGAGGAGAAGATAAAGAAAGAAAGGAGAGAGAGAAGAAAGTGAAAATAAAGGGGATAAGGGGGCGGCTGATGATGTAGGGTTTTGGTGTTTTTTTTTAATGTTAAATCCGTCGGAACTCGTTAAAATTCCGTAGGAAATTATTTGTTTCCCGTCAGATAATTAAGTTTTTTCCGACGCATTTAAATTCCGTCGGAAATTTCCGATGGATTTCCGACGATTCTAAATTCGTCAGAAATTTCTGACGAAACTTAAATCCATTGGAAATTCTAACTTTTCCGGCGGATTTCCGTGTCTGTCAGAACATATTTGTCGAAAATTGAGCTTTTTCTTGTAGTGTTTATATTTAAAGGTGTATTTGGGTAAATTTTCAATCTAAACTCATAGTTCTACTTGTAAACTATTATCTCATGTGTTTGGGAGTGACCACTTGCTTCGTTTGTTCAAGGTATATACAAGTTACGGAAATCCTTGATCTTTAGGAGTATGTTTAAGGAGTTGTAAGTGTTAAACCTTAAGAAGTTTTGATGATGATGGATATGCCAACTTCAACTAATGTGATTTCATTAAGTATTGAATTAGAATAGGTGAAATTGACTTTGGAAGTGGAAGAGTAACCTATCTATGAAGATCTAAGGAGAAACAAAAGAAAGACAAAAAGAATAGAAAAAGAGTTCTTCATTAGAGCTAGAGGTGATCTCTAACAGGAACACAAAGAGAAGCTTTCTAACAGGAGCTTGACAACAAGCTGAGAAGACTAGCTTGGACTGCGTTGAAGACAAGAAGTTCCACAAGAACTTGGACTGCGAGTCCCTGTAAGGAGCTGGAGTGTTGAAGACAGCAGGAACTTGGTCCTGGTCTGAGTAGAGCCCAAGTATTCATACAATGTGAAGCTTAAGGAGGCAATTCGGCAATAGACTAAAAGTCTTATTATTAAGGTTTTTGTTGAGTTTATTTTTACTAGGATTGCTGTAAATATGTTTGGTTAATTATGCATGAAATCTATTAGAAGCGTGGCAAATATTGGCAAGCTTAATAATATGGAAAGTTTTAAAAAGATAAGTTTTAAATTTAGGAAAAGACCTTTGAGAGATTTTATCTTATAAAATCTGATTTTACAAAATGATAATCTTTTCTAAATTATATAATTCTTGTATATAAAGGAGTGTTCATTATTGATACAACTCGTGAGTTTATTCGTGCAAATCTGAACAGTGCTTAAAGAGTAAGTTTTCCAAGTTCATAAGCTGTGTCATATTAGTTTCGGATTTCATGTGTAGCTTTCCAATCACATATTAGAATCAAGAGTTTGTATTGTTTTGGGTATTAGGTGAGTGATTAGCTTTTGCATACACTGTGGTAGGCTTTGGGTGTGAAGCCGAGTGTTTAGTACTCTGAGAGTGCTGTGAGGAATCTAAGTCCGGAACTTAGGTTTGGTAGGATAGGGTCCTATCGAGTAGCACGTTCAGTCAGGAACTTGTGAGAAAGGTCTGTGATTGTAATAGGTTGTAACTAGGAGTGTTACCCTATTATAGTGAAGTGTTTGGTTTTGAAATTGCTTGGAGGGTCGAGGTTTAACTTCCAGTTAGGCCCTGGAAAGTTTCCTCGTAAAATCCTATGTGCATTGCAAGTTCCTTAAATACTTTGTTTTAAATTTCCGTGAAAAGTTGCCACTAGGAACTCACTGCAATTCACCCCCCTCTTGTAGAAGTTCGTCTCAACTAACAATTGGTATCAGAGCAGGTTCTCAAGCATAACAAATAACTTTGTTGAGTAAGTTTCTAAAGAGAGATGAATTATCGAGAGAAACTTGAAGAATGGTACTCTACCCAACGTCCACCTATGTTCAATGGTAAGTTCTATACCTACTGGAAGAACAGGATGGAGATCTTCATCAAGGTTGAAAATTATCAGGTTTGGCGTGTTATTGAATCTGGTGATTTTGAGCTAACCAAAACTAATGAGAAAACGAGGTAGTTCCTAAACCTTTTTTGATTTTGATAAGAAAGATTTTCAAAAATATGAATTGGATGCTTTAGCTATAAAACTGTTCACTGTAGACTTGGATCCCATGAACACAATAGAATCATGGGATGCAAGTCTGCTAAGAAAATATGGGATCTACTTGAAGTTACTCATGAAGGTACAAACGAGGTAAAGCATTCTAAAATTGATTTGTTGATGTCTAAATATGAAAGATTTGAAATGATACCTAAGAAAACCATAGAAGAAATGTTTACTAGATATAATGATATAATCAACGAGTTGGGTTCCTTTGGTAGACACATTCCTATTGATGAACAGGCTAGAAAAGTGTTGAGAAGTCTTCTCCAAGATGAACACCGGAGATCTAAGGTGACTGCATTGCAAGAAACCAAGGACTTCACCAAGTTCAACATGGAGCAGCTGGCTGAATCTTTGATGACGCATGAACTTCACTTAGGAACTAATGCTGAAAGTTCCAAATGCAAAAGCCTGGCTTTGAAGGCACACGAAACTGATGACTCTGAAGTTGATGAAGATGAGATGGATGCTGGTTAGAAGATTCAAGAAGATACTTAGAAAGAGAAATTTTGATAGGAACAATAAATTCTCAAGTTCCAAAGAGACTACCTGTTTCAAGTGTGGCTTGAAAGAACACTTTATTAGGGACCCATTGAAGGAAAATATATTGTAAGATTCAAAGGCAAGGATCAAGGCAAGGAAACAAAGACTTACAAACCTTCTTTCTCTAAGACAGATGTAAGAAAAGCTATGATAGCGGCCTGGGGTGACTCAAAATCTGAAGAAGAAAAAGAAGAAGAACAACCTCCTGAAGAAATTGCACATCTATGTTTGATGGAAAAATAGATGAAAAGGCCAAGCTGAAGGAACTAGAGGCTGATGTATGGTTTGATTATAATCAATTAAAACATTTCTCTTAATAAAACCTAATTGACATCGTTATGGAAATTTAAGGTGAATTAATTGATTTGCATGTGGTCAAAGGTCAAAGTGATAAAGCTCTTAAAACTCACAAAGAACACAGTGAATGGATAGATAATATGACACTTGATATTCAATAGAGATTCTTTGACTTGTTTGATGATAATGTTAAATTAAAAGAAACTGTTGAAAGAATGAAACATGATAACATACTAATGAATGTGGAAATTTCTTTGTTAAAACTCAGCGGTGCCACTCCTAACTCTAAAGTTTCTCTACTAGACCAATATCCTAACTTTGAAAAATTAAAATCTGATTTGGAAGAGTTAAAATTGGATAAGGCTAAACTTGAGGGGGAACTCGAAAGAGTTAAGAAGGGCAAGCAACTGGTTAAGTACATTATACCTAACTAGATTGCTAATGCTCTAGCTAAAAGAATTGAAGGTCTAGGTTATAAGAAGAAGTTCCAGAAAGAAAAGAAGTATGTTGATCTACCGAGTAGTATTATCTGTTATTTCTGTGGTAAGATAGGGCATAAGCAAAATAAGTGCCCTAAGAAAGATAAAAGCACTCTTAAAAATGTGAATCATGTTAAACAGTTATGGGTGAAGAAACCTGACTCTATATCTGTTGTACATGAACCCAAGGAGACCTAGGTTCCTGACACTAACGTTTGATTTTCATGCAGGTTCCAATGAGAGGGAACAACATGTGGTACCTCGACAACAGTTGTTCTAAGCATATGACTGGAGATAAATCAAGATTTCTCTCACTGAACGCGTATTATGGTGGGATTGTGACTTTTGGTGATAACATGAAAGGTGAAATCATTGCTATTGGAAAAGTAGGAAGGTCAAGTTCCCATGCTATAGATAATGTATTTTTAGTCGAGGGTTTGAAACACAACTTGTTAAGTATTTCACAATTTTGTGACAAAGGTAACTCTATTAGCTTTACTTCTAATTTGTGTCGAATCATCAACAATGACACTGGGAACATTATATTAGAAGGAACTCCTAAAGGGAACAATTATATAGTGGATCTGAACGAGGTTCCAAATAGCATTTTGACTTATCTTAGTGTCATTGAGGATGATCCACTATTATGGCACAAAATACTTGGTCATACAAGTTTTTCATTACTATACAAGCTTAGATATAAAGAACTTGTGGAAGGTCTTTCATTCATCAAGTTCCTAAAAGATAAAGTGTGTCATGCATGTGTGAGAGGAAAACAGACTCGTATCTCTTTTGAATCTAAAAATATGGTAAGTACCAAAAGACCTTTGGAGCTCATTCACATGGATCTCTGTGGTCTAATGAGAATCTAAAGTAGACGTGGAAAACGATATGTTATGGTTATTGTTGATGACATCTCAAGGTATACATGGGTATTCTTTTGAAAGCAAAGATGAAACGTTTGATGAGTTTTTTGATTTTGTGAAGAAAGAATAGAGAAGAACAGGTCACCAACTAGTGCATCTAAGATCATATCACAGAACAAAATTTGAAAACTATAAGCTTGATGAAAGGGATGGAACGTAACTTCTCTACACCTAGGACTCCACAACAGAATGGAGTGGTTGAACGCAAGAATAGAAGTCTTGAGGACATGGCTAGAACAATGTTGATTTCCAGTGGATTGCCTAGAAACTTCTGGGCAGAGGCTGTTAATACAGCATGCTATATCTTGAACAGGGTCACTATTAAAGCTATCACTAACAAAACACCATATGAGCTCATCAAAGAGAGAAAGCCTAATATTTCTTACTTTAGATCTTTTTGTTGCAAGTGTTTTGTTCATAACAATGGAAAAAGAAACTTGGGAAAATTTGATGAACGTAGTGATGAGGCAGTGTTCTTAGGATATGCCTCAAATAGTAAAGGTTAGAGTCTATAATAAAAGAATAATGTGTGTGGAAGAATCTGTACATGTAATTTTTGATGAAACTGACTAATTGATTGATGTACAGGATGATGATGATGATTTCAAAATTGGATTAGTACGAAAGTATGATCCAGATGAATAATCATTATCTATGCAGAAGCAGCATTATGAAAAGGATGGTGAAACGAATCAAGAAGCAACAGAGAACAATGTTCATCAACATGAGCAAGTAACTGACAGGAAGTTCTAGTAGAAGTTCCAGAAGTTGTTCCTGCCGAAGACCAAGCAAATGATGCAACTCAAGAAATGATATTTTCGGTTAGAGACTTCCAACCTAAACTTTGGACATCAAAGATCATATCCAATGAATGCCATTATCAGTGACATAGCCAAAGGAACTCAGACAAGATCACAACTAGAAACTTCTATGCACTTTATGCATTCTTGTCCTCTATGGAACCTAAGAATCATTTGGAAGCACTAAATAATGCTTATTGAATCAATGCCATGCAAGCTGAATTGAATGAATTTGAAAGAAATAAAGTTTGGCATCTGGAACCTACACCAAGTCATCAAAAGACTATTGTCTTAAATGGGTGTTCAGAAATAAACTAGATGAACATGGTATTATAGTCAGAAACAAAGCAAGACTGGTGGTTCAAGGCTTCATTTAGCAAGAAGGCATATCGAGGTATGATTGGTTCTTTTCTATACTTGACTGCTAGTAGACCTGACATATCTTTTAGTGTAGGTCTGTGTGCCAGGTTCCAAGCAAACCCAAATGAGTCACACCTGATAGCAGTGAAAAGAATCCTTCATTACTTAAAAGGAACTGATGGCTTGGGCCTTTTCTACCCTAGAAGTGACTCATTTGATTAATTGGTTATATTGACGCTGACTATGTAGGTGATTTGATTAATAGAAAATGCACTTCAAGAATGGCACAGTTTTTAGGACCGTGTTTAGTATCTTAAGGTTCCAAGAAACAAAACACAGTTGCATTATCTACAACTGAAGCTAAATATGTAGCTGCAGCAGCATGTTGTTCACAAATTTTATTGATAAAGCAACAGGTTAGAGATTTTGCCATCATTTTTTAATGTATCCCTATTTGTTGTGATAACACAAGTGCTATATGTATTTCTAAAGATCCAGTTCAACACTCAAAGGTCAAGCATATCCACATTAGGCATCACTTCCTAAAGGATAATGTGGAACAAGGGAACATTAATTTAGAATTTTGTCAAACCTAAAGTCAAATTGCAGATACTCTAACCAAGCCCTTGAACTGAGAAAGATTTGAAAAGTTGAGATTGGAACTTAGGATGATCAAGCTAACTTGATTGCTTTTGAATTCCTAAGATATGGCAAAGTTGGAAATAATGCAAAATGAGGAAAAAGGACATCTAGCACAATCTTAGTGTGCTAAACATAGCTAAAGTGTCACCGTAGGTGAATTCCTAGAGGTTAGTTCAATAACACTTGAATGCGTGTATAATTAGTATTGTGTAATGTATGTGTGCATATAGCGTGTTCCAAATGCATTTGATTTATGGAAAAATCTTATTTTTGGAAATTAATTGAATTTAGAAAGAAAAGATTTTGTTTAAAAATCATCCGGATTAATTTTAGAAAATAAATTAAAGTTGTTCAATTAAATGACCAAATAGTAAACTCATTCATATCTCTTGCATCGCTTCATTAAATTATAAAAAGCATATTTTACCCACCTTCTCACTCCACTATCAAATCACAAAAACCATTTCAGTAAAAACCATCAAACTCTCTAAAACCCCCAATCTTCAGCCATAGCTACTGAAACCTCCAAAAACTTAACCGAGAAAGTTCCTACATCCAACACTCTGAACCCGAAGAAACATCACCTCTTGCTATGGTGGTCTATATCACATCCGAAAAACCAAAAGAATTTCCTAAAGCAAAAACACCCACTACCTCAACCACCAAGAAAAACCCGATTGAAAAAGAGAAAAATTCAGCAGATGGTGAAGAATCGTCTTCAGATATTATCAAGAGACTACAAGAGTGGAAAGAGAAAAAAGCGAAGGAAAAGTCTCTTGAAGAACATATCAAGGAAGTGGAGGATTTTGCTGAGGGGGAACAAGAATCGTAGATAGAGAACGATCCTATGGAAAAGGATGATGATCAGGATAAATTTGATAAGAGTGCTCGAAGGTATGTTGCTGGCCATAGGCTTGATTTAACTTGGTATAAAAGCTAGGTTTTTAGAATTTCTTGATTTATTAAGATTTCAAGGTTGAGAACATATGTTGTCCAAATCCTCAAATAATCTCATGTATCCATCGGCTATGAATGAATTCTGTGCAAATTTTAAAGTGAAAGAAGGAATAATTTCGAGTAAAATTAACAAAATTGCAATTGAGTTTGATATGATGTTTAGCGTTTGGGAACTATACTAAAAGTTCCTACTGAGGGTTATGAGGCTTATATTAAAGGGGAAGTGGAAGTAAGAAATTATTTAGGTGGTGACATAGTCGAATTTCTGGGAGGTAAAAGGGGAGTTAACATCTTGAATCACAATAAGTTGAGCCCTAGGAATAAACTGTTGTTTAATTTGGTGAAGAAAACTATCCTGCCTAGAACTCAAAAGAAAAATGAAGCAAGTTTGTTGGATATGACTGTGATTTTCTGCTTAGTGAAAAAGATTAAAATCAATTTTCCCTCGTTGATGTATCAACATTTGGCTCATTGTGTTCCTAACAAGAACAAAGAGGGGTATAGAGCATTGCTATCCACAGTGTTTGAAACTCTAGGAGTGAAACTCAAGGGTGTTTATGGTGGGATGAAAGAAAGAGCAGAAAATGTCATTAATGAGGAGACTTTGCTAGGGATAAGTCTAGCTGTAGTAAATGGGAAGATTGAGAGGGTAGAAGAAAAGAAAAGTGAAGCTAGTGGGAAGAAGAGAGAAGGAGCAAAGTCTGGTGAGCCTGTGAGGAAGAGTAGAAGGCTGTCAGCAGGTTCTTTTCCTTAAACCAGCATAGAGGAACCTCTAAAACTTGATGAGGAAGATAATGTTATGGCAGGGCAGGGCAGATTGCTTAACTTACAGACAGAGCTGAGGTTGCAAAGAAGCAGCTCAAAGAAGCTACACGGAAAGTTCGGAAGCTGGAAAAGAGTGTGCAGGGTCTTGAGAAGAGTCTTAAGGACAGAAGGTTGATTTCTAGAAGACTGTCAAGAGTCTGGGAGCAAAGTTGGCTACTAGCATTGAAGCATACAAGGAGGACAACAAGAAGACTATTTCCATCCTCGAATCCTGAACGAGCTTACCTTTTGCAGCCTACCCTAGCCGAGCCTTAGCCATTTTTTCTTTTGTGTTTGTATCATGGACAATTTAATTTTGTTTGGGTATTTTGGAACTTTGGTTTGTAATTATTAAAGCTGGGTGACCTTTTTGGGTTTTATGACCATTTGGAACTTTTCTTATGTATGTGTGCATAGTATAGTATGAAAGTATGTGCAGGATTATGTGAAGGGAGGTAGTCAGCTTTGCATTTAATTTCCCACACTCGATGAATTGCTTGTGGGGCTGTGTTTAGATGTCTAATAACTTAACTTGCAGGACTTTTTGATAATGCCAACAGGGGAAAAAAGAGAAGCAAACTTGGAAGTGCAGTTGTTCTGGGTTCTAGTCGATAAAGTATCAAAGATTTCTTTAATATATTGTATGTAGTAGCTTAGTTTAATTTACTTTACTTTCTGCAGTTATTTATTTTTGTTTTTCTTAAGTTTTTAGTTTTCTGTGTGTTTTTATTTTCTTGTTAAAAAACCAAATATACAAACCTTCTATTCTATTTTCTTTCTTGCTCGAAGTTTGCTAAGTTTTTCATCATCAAAAAGGGGGAAATTGTTGAACCTTAAGAAGTTTTGATGATGATGGATATGCAAACTTCAATTAATGCGATTTCTCTAAGTATAGGATTAGAACAAGTGAAGTTTACTTTGGAAGTGGATGAGTAACCTATCTATGAAGATCCAAGGAGAAACAAAAGAAAGACAAAAAGAATAGAAGAAGAGTTCCTCATTAGAACTAGAGGTGATCCCTATTAGAAGAGAATAGACAAAGAGAAAATATGTTTGGTTAATTATACATGAAATCTATTAGAAGCGTGGAAAAGCTTGGAAAGCTTAATAACATGGAAAGTTTTAAAAAGATAAGTTTTAAATTTAGGAAAGATCTTTGAGATATTTTATCTTATAAAATCTGATTTTACAAAATGATAATCTTTTCTAAATTATATATTTCTTAAGTTTTCCAAAAGATTTTCTTCAAAAGATTTATTTCACAAAGGGTTTTATAAAACGGCAGTTTGGTATTTTCTATCTTTTGAAAACCCTACTTTACATGCAAGAATTCTTGATATAAAGGAGTGTTCATTATTGATACAACTCGTGAGTTTATTCGTG